CTCGGAGGACGAGGCTAGCTGGGAGACGACGGGGATTGCAGGCTGGGTGGGCCGCAGCCACTGCAACTCCCGAGCTACTTTCCGGCGTTTCGCCCTCCCCATAGCCTCTTTCCGGCCCGAGGTCGAGAGCTCCGCGTGCTGCCTCAAGTGCCTGTCCAGGCGGGCTGGCGTCCTGCGCGGCGACCTCCGCGTGTCCATGCGGCCGGCGGCCAGCGCGAGCAGCAGCCGCTTCTCGTCCGCGTTGGTCACCTTGTGAACGGCCGTCAGGTGAGACGCAAGCCGGCTGTAGACGTTGAAGCATAGGGCACATTCAGCCATGACCGTGCTAGAGCCAATGCAGAGGGGGAAAGGGGCCCACACGCCACATGTGGCGGTTGATAAGCGGGCGGAGGTGGCGTCCACTTCTGCGTCATGACGTTGGTGGACCCGTATTTCTTAAAGGGGAAGGACACCCCCCCCGTAAGGTGGGGGTGTAAGCCGATGCCCTACGTGGATCCATTCGGTTTAAGCCTTCTTTTGTTACGACTCTCAAGTAGGGGGGAAGGGGTGTCCCACCTCACTCCCTATCCCCCCTTCATTGCTGTTCTGGCCAGCGGGAGCTTTTCCACAGCCTTTCTCGTTCACTTTTTCCACCCCAAAAAGGGGATTGTTTGAGCCCCATCGAACATGCGCCGTTTTTGGGGGGGGAGCAGCTCCACACGCGGCAGCCGCAGGAGCTTTTGTTTAGCTTTTACGACCTGCTACAACCAACATGGATACGCACCAACCATCGAAAGGGGGGTCCAGACAGCCCGTAACTCCGGCACCACTGACCCTGGCACGTTTCACCTCGCCGGAGTCCACTAGCTTCCCCCCAACCAACCACCCTCACTCCCCCTGGGAGCAGGGTAGGTGGGGTGGGGGTCAGCCAGGAGCCAGCTAGGATAAACCCAGGGGGTGGGCGGCGTTGCGGGCGGATGGACGGACGGGATGCAGACGCACACACTCGGGCGGGGGTAGAATCGAAGCCTACACCAGCTCGTTCCCTACACTGCCCCTGGGGGCTCGATTCACCACGTCGGGTGACTCGACCGAACCCACCGAACATCCCCCAGCCCTCGCAGGGCGAGGGACGTGGGGCGGGGGCACGGGCCGAGTATCGGCGCGGGGGAAACGGAGTCCAGGGGGGCGGGCTGGCGGGCGGGCTGAGCAGCAGACAAGCTCTGGGTCATATAGCCAGACGGGCCATCTGGGTCCTTACCCACAGATTGGGGCGGGAAGGGGGGGCGCTGTGTGCGGAGGGACACCCCCACGCCTACCTGATAGAACGCCCAGGACGGGGAGGATCTGCCACACCCATAGAGGCCGACCCCATTGGTGCTTTGGGGGGCCTGGGTGGGGGCCTAGCCCCTGGGGCGCCACACTAGCTCCTATCGATCAGTCACCGTGGGGTCTGGCGACTGGACTGTCAGAGACTAAGTCCGTAAATTGTCGCCTTCCCCGAAACCCTGATGGCAGGTCAGAGATTGTGGGTGTCGGGCAAAAACCTCCAGGCGCAGGACGTCTCGACAAGTAGGCCGGGAAGGGTGGTCTCCTGTCGGGCATGGTTTGGTGGGCTCGGGCCTGGGCCTAACCAACGCCCCGGTGAGTGCCAGGCATAACGTTTTCCTGTTGGACCTTGGCGCTAGATGCGTAAAGATGTGCCGCTGGTGAACCATTGATGGAGCCGCTGGTGAACCATTGATGGAGCCTCTGACATCCAGGGTGGGGCCCTGTGCCCGGCGCGCAGTGCCCGAGGTACACACACTCTCCGGTGGGGGCAAGCCCAGCCCAGCTCCACTCCCTGGCCCGGAGCCTCTGACATCCAGGGGGGGCCCTGTGCCCGGTGCCCAATGCCCGAGGTACATACACTCTCCGGTGGGGGCAAGCCCAGCCCAGCTCCACTCCCTGGCCCGGAGCTTCTGACATCCAGGGGGGGCCCTGTGCCCCGCGCCCAATGCCCGAGGTACACACACCCTCCGGGGGCAAGCGCTGGTTCCAAAGAACCCTCCAGACTTGCACCTAATCACCAGCAGTGCCCGGGCACCCCACTATTAAGCCCGGGGATGGGGCACCAGCGGCGCATAGTTCTAGCCTGCGTGAGCGATGAAAACTCCTGTTTGCTGCGGGGGGGACGAGCGCTGGGGTCGTGGGTTGGAAGCTCAGACATGGACCCCTGTCTCCCCGGGGCGCGCGCGGTGGCCTGCGGGGGGGACGAACGCTGGGACACGGGGTAGCAGCTCAGCCATGGACCCCTGACTCCCATGGTGTTCAGCCTACTGGCCTTGCCCGGGTTCGAACGCTTGTCTTGGGGCAGCTTTGCTGGCCTTTGAGGCCTGGGTCTTTGGTTAGACCAGGGCAGCAGCGCGCACTTGGCTTTGCCCGTGTTTGAACGCTTGTCTTGGGGCAGCTTTGCTGGCCATTGAGGCCTGGGTCTTTGGTTAGACCTGGACAGCAGCGCGCACTTGGCTTTGCCCGTGTTTGAACGCTTGTTTTGGGGCAGCTTTGCTGGCCATTGAGGCCTGGGTCTTTGGTTAGACCAGGGCAGCAGAGCACACTTGGCTTTGCCCGGGTTCGAACGCTTAATTTGGAGCAGCTTTGCTGGCCATTGAGGCCTGGGTCTTTGGTTAGACCAGGGCAGCAGCGCGCACTTGGCTTTGCCCGGGTTCGAACGCTTGTTTTGGGGCAGCTTTGCTGGCCTTTGAGGCCTGGGTCTTTGGTTAACCAGGGCAGCAGCGAGCACTTGGCTTTGCCCGTGTTGCTACGCTTGTTTTGGGGCAGCTTTGCTGGCCATTGAGGCCTGGGTCTTTGGTTAGACCAGGGCAGCAGCGCGCACTTGGCTTTGCCCGTGTTTGAACGCTTGTTTTGGGGCAGCTTTGCTGGCCATTGAGGCCTGGGTCTTTGGTTAAACCAGGGCAGCAGCGCGCACTTGGCTTTGCCCGTGTTGGAACGCTTGTTTTGGGGCAGCTTTGCTGGCCATTGAGGCCTGGGTCTTTGGTTAGACCAGGGCAGCAGCGCGCACTTGGCTTTGCCCGTGTTGGAACGCTTGTTTTGGGGCAGCTTTGCTGGCCATTGAGGCCTGGGTCTTTGGTTAGACCAGGGCAGCAGCGAGCACTTGGCTTTGCCCGGGTTCGAACGCTTGTCTTGGGGCAGCTTTGCTGGCCATTGAGGCCTGGGTCTTCTGAATTTCTTCACCCGCACTATCCCCTCCACAGTGCGGGTGTATCAGTTTCCCTGAATCTGGGAGTGGCCTCCGCTCTCAGCACTCCTCCAAGGACAGGACCTGCGCTGATGGCCAACGTCAAGACAATTAAGGCATCTTTTCTCTGACATGCAGTGTGACTGTGTAGAATGAGTTCTCTCACCACAGACACAACATCTAGATGGACGGGACCAAGATGGCGACTGAGATCTATCAGAAGTAGTCTGTACGTTAGTGCGTTCAAGCACTCTCTCCAGCATGCTCAGTACTCGTTCCAACGTACAAGTGTCAGTCGAAGCAGCGTGTGGGGGTGCTGTGGTGATCTCAGGTTTGACATTCTGATTACTGGAAATGCACGCTGCTGCATTTACTGCAGTGTTTTCCACAGTGGGTGTTTCTGTGTTGCTGACAGTAATATTGGATACCTTAAATGAATAGTCAGATTGAGGGTAAGAGTGCTGGTTCTTTGTTCTAAACTCTCTTTGATGCTCATCAATCGCTTCTTGCACCTCTGCGAATGACCATTTTGTAGCAGGTTTGTATTTGAACACATTAGAAAGTCCAGTATCAGGACAGTTACGGATAAACATCATTGCAACTTCCTGTGAAATGTTATTCATTTCAGCAGGTGCTTATCAGCGATTTCAGCTGCGTTATTGAGACGGACCAAGAAATCGACAGGGCTTTCTCTGACAAAGGGCAGTGGGGAATAGAAGTCTGCAAGTGGGAGACAAGACTCTGGGCTGTCACTGAAATAACGTAACAGTATTTCATAAATAACTTCAGGGGTAACTACTTTATCAGGTGAGCTACTACTTTTTAGTCCTACTTTGACTATGTTTTTAGCTCTACCCAAAAGGTAGTTCTGAATTTCACTGGAGTGTTCTGCTTTCAGACAGTCACATTTCTCCATAAAGTTAACCTCCACTCCACAGCTGCCCTGTCCTGACCTATTCATGCATCTCAAAGGACCGAGCTGTCCCGGGAGAAGCTTGCTAATATACAGAATTGGACTCAAGGCCTTCTGGGCGTTCAAAGCATTTGCAGACCTGGACAGATTTGTCCAGCCCAGCACCTCCTTGTGCTGCAAAAGGGATTAATTCTCCCTATGAGCTATCAACCAAGGCTGAACCTGGACGGGGGCGTCCCGCGAGTCACTTTTAACACACAAGGCAGGGATAGTTTGTCCCAATCAGAACGTAGCCAAGGCAGAACCTGGACGAGGGCATCCCACGTGACACTTTTAACACACAAGTTAGGGATAATTTGTCCCAATCGGAACGTAGCCAAGGCAGAACCTGGACGCAGCAGGCATCCAGCTTTGAACTAAGAAGACAGGGCTCATTTGTACCTACTGAATCTACTTTTACCACACAGATAATAAATAAAAGGAATAATGAAGACACTGAACACCATTTGACCGTTAAGTTGTACAATATTTATTTAGGACGATTCAGAGTCTTCTGTTGGTTCGAGTGGGCGAGCGCCCTGGCTTTTCCCCCTGGCAGGGCGCCATGGCAGCGTCCTCCTGCTGGTTCCCTCCTGGAAAAGAGACACATAAAGGGCAGTTAGCCAATGCCACACGTTCTGCTGTCCACGCCAAAGAGAATCTGATTTTTACCAGGGGAGAGACGGGAGTCTCTGTCCTCTTGCGCCCTTTCCGCAGGGGGCTTTCAGTGCCCGCTGCCTCCCCATCCTCCTCCTCCTCCTCCTCCTTCTCCACCAGGGCCCTTTCAAACAGTCTGCGGCGCTCACGTGCTTGGAGAGGTCCAAAGTGAAGTGCGTAGAACTTATCTGAGGTTGAAGTGTCATGGCACATGAATTGCACCACCTTGCGGCGATCCTCTGAAGAGTGTGCATTCTTTGCCTGCGTCGGAGAGAGACAGAAGCTTGATTAGGATCGAAGCCGCCGCTGTTGGTTACAGGGGCGTCACAATGCCTACTCACATGGGTCGCGATCGCAGTCCGTACGTCAGTAAAGGTGGGTTTGCCTGGAAGGCCCATACTGACCCAAGCAGACTGAAAGTACTTGTTCAGGGTCCGACAAGGACTGGCTCTGGAAGTAAAAAAGAAATAGGTAGCCTGGCTCCCTCCAGGGAGACCAGCCCGCAGCGCCAAAAACCTGCGGAACCAGCTGTATTCCTCCCTGTTTAGGGACAGCTGGGCCGCCCCGAAGGCTCTGTTTGTTTTGTGCGTGGTAATCTGCCGTCAGAGAACAAGCAGTGAGTGAGAGAGCATGCTACTGGTGACCCCCACCTTACTTGCGCCATACTCACGTTAATGACATAAGCAGACTCGTCGGGGCTTCTGGAGGCCTCTTCAACCTCCTGGATTGTGAGATTCTGGAAGACTCCACAGCGGTGCCCAGAGATGGAGGTTAGGTAGCCAGTCAGAAAGCCATAGAAGCGCCACTGTTGCCTAGTGCTTGGGTTGGACTCGAGGCTATCTGGTGAAGGACATTAGACAAATTAGACCACTGACGGTTCTATTTCCTCTCTGGGTCACCAACAGCTCTTGGCTGCTGGTGACCTGTTCTTCGGGGCGCCAGCAGCTCAACCAAGAGCTGCTGGTGGCCCGGAGAGGAAATGTTCGTTTCTTCTTCAGGGGCACCAGCAGCTGTTGGTTCACCCAGCCACATCTGTCTGCCCCCCTTCCCCCCGAATAAGTCCCATTCGCGGGGGAGAGGGGCAGACAGACGTGGCTGGATGAAGCAAGAACTGCTGGTGACCCAGAGAGGAAATTAAACCCAGGCCACCAGCAACCGTTGGTTCATCCAGCCACGTCTGTCTGCCCCCCTTCCCCCCGAATGAGTCCCATTCGCGGGGGAGAGGGGCAGACAGACGTGGGTGAACCAAGAGCTGTTGGTGCCCCGGAAGAACAAACAGGGGGAATCGTTGGAACGGCGGAAGGCTGGCTTACCTAGCAGGGCGGGAATTTTCCTCCCGGCGGTCCGGTGACAGCGCACTAGGCTGGCCTTGGGGATCAGTCTGCTTTCCTTCGCCTGCTTGGTCCGTACGTTTCTGATAGGTAGTCCAGGAATTGGGCCACGTTCTTCAGATAGTGCTGCCTGGTGGGCTCGGCCATCCGCGTCTGACCTAGCAGGGCGGTCCACGCTCTGATTCGGGCTGGTTGGTTGAGGAAAAGGAAGGTCCCTGGCTCCGCGGTGCTCCTGGCCATGTAACCAAGGAAGGCTTTGATTCTCCCCAGCTTCGAAGTGACGTTGTTCCGCAGGCGGGCGGTGGGCTCGCTGCCCAGTTGGTACCCTTCGAACTCCCCCAAGAGAAGGTCTGTGTAACGAGCACAACCAAGAGTCAACTTCCCCGAAGACACACACCCAGCAGAGCGACAGTGACGTGCCTGAAATATACTCAACTCAGCGCTGGGACGTGGTCCGGGAACGTGTAGGCAGTGGGTTCCAAAGCCTCCGTAGGCTCGGGGGGCGTCGGACCTCCGGCCACCCCTCGCCCGGGAGCCGGTGGTGCAGGAGGCGACCTGGTTCTCCTCGCTCTCTTCCTCCTCCTTCCCCCCCCTTCTCCCTTCCTTAGCTCCCGGTAGAGGCATGTGATTTGGAGCAGGGTGGACCGGATCTTGGTAACCTGCCTCCCCAGGTCCGTGAGCTGAGCCTGTATGCGCTCGGTGGCGCGCCTGTAGCCGCGGTCGGCGCACGGGCGGCCGGCCTCTGGGCCCTCCCGAGTCTTGCACCACCTCGGAGGACGAGGCTAGCTGGGAGACGACGGGGATTGCAGGCTGGGTGGGCCGCAGCCACTGCAACTCCCGAGCTACTTTCCGGCGTTTCGCCCTCCCCATAGCCTCTTTCCGGCCCGAGGTCGAGAGCTCCGCGTGCTGCCTCAAGTGCCTGTCCAGGCGGGCTGGCGTCCTGCGCGGCGACCTCCGCGTGTCCATGCGGCCGGCGGCCAGCGCGAGCAGCAGCCGCTTCTCGTCCGCGTTGGTCACCTTGTGAACGGCCGTCAGGTGAGACGCAAGCCGGCTGTAGACGTTGAAGCATAGGGCACATTCAGCCATGACCGTGCTAGAGCCAATGCAGAGGGGGAAAGGGGCCCACACGCCACATGTGGCGGTTGATAAGCGGGCGGAGGTGGCGTCCACTTCTGCGTCATGACGTTGGTGGACCCGTATTTCTTAAAGGGGAAGGACACCCCCCCCGTAAGGTGGGGGTGTAAGCCGATGCCCTACGTGGATCCATTCGGTTTAAGCCTTCTTTTGTTACGACTCTCAAGTAGGGGGGAAGGGGTGTCCCACCTCACTCCCTATCCCCCCTTCATTGCTGTTCTGGCCAGCGGGAGCTTTTCCACAGCCTTTCTCGTTCACTTTTTCCACCCCAAAAAGGGGATTGTTTGAGCCCCATCGAACATGCGCCGTTTTTGGGGGGGGAGCAGCTCCACACGCGGCAGCCGCAGGAGCTTTTGTTTAGCTTTTACGACCTGCTACAACCAACATGGATACGCACCAACCATCGAAAGGGGGGTCCAGACAGCCCGTAACTCCGGCACCACTGACCCTGGCACGTTTCACCTCGCCGGAGTCCACTAGCTTCCCCCCAACCAACCACCCTCACTCCCCCTGGGAGCAGGGTAGGTGGGGTGGGGGTCAGCCAGGAGCCAGCTAGGATAAACCCAGGGGGTGGGCGGCGTTGCGGGCGGATGGACGGACGGGATGCAGACGCACACACTCGGGCGGGGGTAGAATCGAAGCCTACACCAGCTCGTTCCCTACACTGCCCCTGGGGGCTCGATTCACCACGTCGGGTGACTCGACCGAACCCACCGAACATCCCCCAGCCCTCGCAGGGCGAGGGACGTGGGGCGGGGGCACGGGCCGAGTATCGGCGCGGGGGAAACGGAGTCCAGGTGGGCGGGCTGGCGGGCGGGCTGAGCAGCAGACAAGCTCTGGGTCATATAGCCAGACGGGCCATCTGGGTCCTTACCCACAGATTGGGGCGGGAAGGGGGGGCGCTGTGTGCGGAGGGACACCCCCACGCCTACCTGATAGAACGCCCAGGACGGGGAGGATCTGCCACACCCATAGAGGCCGACCCCATTGGTGCTTTGGGGGGGCCTGGGTGGGGGCCTAGCCCCTGGGGCGCCACACTAGCTCCTATCGATCAGTCACCGTGGGGTCTGGCGACTGGACTGTCAGAGACTAAGTCCGTAAATTGTCGCCTTCCCCGAAACCCTGATGGCAGGTCAGAGATTGTGGGTGTCGGGCAAAAACCTCCAGGCGCAGGACGTCTCGACAAGTAGGCCGGGAAGGGTGGTCTCCTGTCGGGCATGGTTTGGTGGGCTCGGGCCTGGGCCTAACCAACGCCCCGGTGAGTGCCAGGCATAACGTTTTCCTGTTGGACCTTGGCGCTAGATGCGTAAAGATGTGCCGCTGGTGAACCATTGATGGAGCCGCTGGTGAACCATTGATGGAGCCTCTGACATCCAGGGTGGGGCCCTGTGCCCGGCGCGCAGTGCCCGAGGTACACACACTCTCCGGTGGGGGCAAGCCCAGCCCAGCTCCACTCCCTGGCCCGGAGCCTCTGACATCCAGGGGGGGCCCTGTGCCCGGTGCCCAATGCCCGAGGTACATACACTCTCCGGTGGGGGCAAGCCCAGCCCAGCTCCACTCCCTGGCCCGGAGCTTCTGACATCCAGGGGGGGCCCTGTGCCCCGCGCCCAATGCCCGAGGTACACACACCCTCCGGGGGCAAGCGCTGGTTCCAAAGAACCCTCCAGACTTGCACCTAATCACCAGCAGTGCCCGGGCACCCCACTATTAAGCCCGGGGATGGGGCACCAGCGGCGCATAGTTCTAGCCTGCGTGAGCGATGAAAACTCCTGTTTGCTGCGGGGGGGACGAGCGCTGGGGTCGTGGGTTGGAAGCTCAGACATGGACCCCTGTCTCCCCGGGGCGCGCGCGGTGGCCTGCGGGGGGGACGAACGCTGGGACACGGGGTAGCAGCTCAGCCATGGACCCCTGACTCCCATGGTGTTCAGCCTACTGGCCTTGCCCGGGTTCGAACGCTTGTCTTGGGGCAGCTTTGCTGGCCTTTGAGGCCTGGGTCTTTGGTTAGACCAGGGCAGCAGCGCGCACTTGGCTTTGCCCGTGTTTGAACGCTTGTCTTGGGGCAGCTTTGCTGGCCATTGAGGCCTGGGTCTTTGGTTAGACCTGGACAGCAGCGCGCACTTGGCTTTGCCCGTGTTTGAACGCTTGTTTTGGGGCAGCTTTGCTGGCCATTGAGGCCTGGGTCTTTGGTTAGACCAGGGCAGCAGAGCACACTTGGCTTTGCCCGGGTTCGAACGCTTAATTTGGAGCAGCTTTGCTGGCCATTGAGGCCTGGGTCTTTGGTTAGACCAGGGCAGCAGCGCGCACTTGGCTTTGCCCGGGTTCGAACGCTTGTTTTGGGGCAGCTTTGCTGGCCTTTGAGGCCTGGGTCTTTGGTTAACCAGGGCAGCAGCGAGCACTTGGCTTTGCCCGTGTTGCTACGCTTGTTTTGGGGCAGCTTTGCTGGCCATTGAGGCCTGGGTCTTTGGTTAGACCAGGGCAGCAGCGCGCACTTGGCTTTGCCCGTGTTTGAACGCTTGTTTTGGGGCAGCTTTGCTGGCCATTGAGGCCTGGGTCTTTGGTTAAACCAGGGCAGCAGCGCGCACTTGGCTTTGCCCGTGTTGGAACGCTTGTTTTGGGGCAGCTTTGCTGGCCATTGAGGCCTGGGTCTTTGGTTAGACCAGGGCAGCAGCGCGCACTTGGCTTTGCCCGTGTTGGAACGCTTGTTTTGGGGCAGCTTTGCTGGCCATTGAGGCCTGGGTCTTTGGTTAGACCAGGGCAGCAGCGAGCACTTGGCTTTGCCCGGGTTCGAACGCTTGTCTTGGGGCAGCTTTGCTGGCCATTGAGGCCTGGGTCTTTAGTTAGACCAGGGCAGCAGCGCGCACATGGCTTTGCCCGTGTTTGAACGCTTGTCTTGGGGCAGCTTTGCTGGCCATTGAGGCCTGGGTCTTTAGTTAGACCAGGGCAGCAGCGCGCACATGGCTTTGCCCGTGTTTGAACGCTTGTTTTGGGGGAAGCTTTGCTGGCCATTGAGGCCTGGGTCTTTGGTTAGACCAGGGCAGCAGCGCGCACTTGGCTTTGCCTGTGTTGGAACGCTTGTTTTGGGGCAGCTTTGCTGGCCATTGAGGCCTGGGTCTTTGGTTAGACCAGGGCAGCAGCGCGCACTTGGCTTTGCCCGGGTTCGAACGCTTGTTTTGGGGCAGCTTTGCTGGCCATTGAGGCCTGGGTCTTTGGTTAGACCAGGGCAGCAGCGCGCACTTGGCTTTGCCCGTGTTTGAACGCTTGTTTTGGGGGCAGCTTTGCTGGCCATTGAGGCCTGGGTCTTTGGTTAGACCAGGGCAGCAGCGCGCACTTGGCTTTGCCTGGGTTCGTACGCTTGTTTTGGGGCAGCTTTGCTGGCCATTGAGGCCTGGGTCTTTGGTTAGACCAGGGCA